AAGAAGAGTGATGGAGACTCCAGTTCTAAGTCTCAGAAGAAGAATGATGGAGATGTTTCAAGCTCATACAAGTCGCAGAGTGGAAAGAAAAATGGTAGCTCGTCAACGGTAGAGGAGAGCCGAAATAGCCACAACAAACGTTGACTTTTTTTGAAAAGAAAATCAGTGAAATTTTTTTGGAGTAACTTTTATTACAAATACCAACATATATATATATTTAAAACTGTAAATTGACCATGCTCACTTGTTTGTATTTTACATTCAAATACCAACACTTTCTCCCTCTTTTAATTTCATTCATTTTCATTTTACATTCATTATAATGTTCCAATTCGTTGTAATTTTTTATAAGAAATAGAGCCTTGCGTATGAACCATAAATGTTGGATGAGCAACGGTCTTTAGCTTCAGTACGTTGTATAATCCAATATTTCAATATAGTTTGCACCAAAAAGGAGTACAAATTAGAGTTGCATGATTTACATACATATATGAAGACGCAAAACAAAACAACTCGATCACCGAACGCAAATAATACTCTGCGTTCACGATGGTGTAATGTCCATCCATATACATCTTCAAATTCAAAAATTATCAAAGACAACCTCGAGGCATCACCACACCAGCCTTAACTCCTTTAATATTCTTACACGTCGAAGTAGCTGACCGACCGTTAAACGTTAGCTTAATATCGTGCAATCTAATCGCTTGGCACGGATTACTACGACTGCAATCAAACGTTAAAGCCTGTTGCGTCCGCGACGTCCCTTGAATGTTTCTATACACAACCTGACTAATCTTCACTCCAGAACCCTACATATATATAAATAAACAGAACCAATCAGATTAGTTTTATATAATTCTATTATGTATTTAGCTACGGTCTCAACTTCGATCAATAATTTTACCTGTTTAGGACAACCCTGATGAGTCGGGCAATAATTCTGATCGACGATGATTGGATTCTGAACATTTTTCATGACCAGATTCTGAAATAAAACGTTTCTTACAAATCCTGTACTTTGCCTAGCCCATGTTTTGATCCGAACACCATTATCCGAACCCGAAAAAACAGAGTTCACCAATGTTATGTTCTGTACTCCAGCTTCATTTGCATCTCTCCCTAGACTCCCAATACTGATAACAATTAATATAATCAGCATCACAAAGAAAACATTATAGAATCTTGCTTTCCAAGTAATCTTTAAACAAGAACATATGCTTTAGTTGTCATACCTAATTCCATGGCCTGGACCGCAGTTGAGCTTAGACATATAGAGGTTACGAGTTCCCGGACCGATAGAGATACAATCATCTCCGGTCTGAAACGTGCTATCGGTTACGGTAACACCAGCAGAAGCTTGGACATGGAGGCCGTCTGTGTTAGGACTTTGGTCCGGAGCCACTAACTTAACTTTCCGGACGACTACATTGTTACAGCTATTTATAACCATATGTGTTGCTTGACTGTTTATTGACGTTAAACCGGTCACTACGATGTCGTTTGCCCAGTTAAACGTCATTGACTGCCAAAAAATAAAATAAAACATCATCAATTTACTGCCAATATTACCAATCTAAAAATCACAAAATTATTTCAATAATTTAAAAATCACTGCTATATCAGATGATGAAAACAAAAATTGAATCGAAAAACCAAAACCATATACAAAAAAAAACTGATATGATTGTTTAAGTTAGAGTAAAACAAAAATTATTTAGAAACTAATCATATATTTTACTACATTGTTACCTATTCGTTTTTAAGTATTGTTTGTTACTATTTTTTTTATTCAGAATATAAGAAACCAGAAAAGGAAAAAACAAAAAGTTAGTTAAATCGGTTATCTTACTCTGGCGCCGGCAGGACAACTCTTTCCGGATTTACGACAAGCCCAAAAAGAAGCACCTCTAGCATCTAACGTTCCTCCGTTGATCGAGATCCGGTTAACTTTCACGAACAAGATCCAATAACCGGAGTTTCCCAAACCGCGGTAATCCGAAGGAGCAACGATCGTTCCATAGATCTGGAACGTAATTCTACTGCGGCATGGACCACGAAACTCCACCGGTTTGAGCAAGAAGCTCCCTCTCGGGACCGTCACAGTGACTGATGCAGCTGAACGGCAAGCTGCTTGCCACGCGCCGAGGAATGCTCTCGTGGAGTCCGTTCGACCGTCTGGTTTAGCACCGAAGTTGACGACGTTGTAGTTGTTAGCAGCCGTTGTTGATCTCATCAGCAAGAAGCTTGAGAAGAACATGATCAGCAAAACAGCTACGAGCTTATTCTTATTATCCATATATTTAATGTTTCTTGAAAAAAAAAAGAGAAAGATCAGTGATATAAATCTTTGTAGATTTTTGGATTTTGTAAAAAGTATATATGTTTTGTGTTTGTGATGTAGTGTGATGGTGAAGTAATCGGAAACGGTTATGATGGGTTCTTTATATGCAATTGTATATATAGTGGTATGTTTGGATATATTTATTTACGTTGACAAATTTCTAAATTGTAATGCTATAATGATTGTTTGATATTGATTAATTTCAAATGAATGATATGTACGGTTCGCACAAACGCATGTGATGATGATAAGCAGTTGTGAATTCCTTAAGCAAATAATGCTCATCTACAAACGAGTAAGCATGTGATCCATGTTCACTTGTATAATTCTAACTTTTATGTTAGTTTAACTCGAGAATGTAATAGTATAGTTAATAAATTGGTAATTGCAAAATAAATAAATAAATGATGCTAGTAGTGTCCGTGGAGTTTTTCAATCGTTCTTCGGTTAAATTATATTAATACGAATTACGAAAGAAGAGAGGTCCAGGTTTCATGTATGGCATAAGTTATGGCATGTGACATGTGGACAGTGGGAATGTTATATTCAATCGTAGCCGTAGATGCAGGAGAGCCTTCGAATCCTACGGTCATGAGCAGCAATAGTCAACAAAAGGCTCTTGGGACAAAAAAAGAAGAAAGGATATGTAGTGAAAGTCAACCAATGTTTACTTATCACGTAATAAGCAAACAGGTAACATGGGATCCCATGTAACATTAATCTATATATTTGGAAAAATGATCAACATGTATTAGAATAATTATCACATGGGTTTACGTGAATGCATGGATGATGGACCGTACCGTTATCATTTATCAATGACGGTTAGACTCAATTTAAATGGGTTTCTTCTCCAAATTAATAACCTAATCAATAATTTTTTATTATCTTTTTTTTTTTCTTGATTTGAATATTCTTGTACCATGTTGGCTTGAGCCTTGAGTAAGGGGTTTTACATTGATTGAAGTAAGAGGCATAAACAGAGCAAGTAATTATGATTTTATTAGGTTATAGAGAGTTGCCGAATAGCCAAAATTATGTAAGCATGTTTCTTGCTTAGAAAACAACTGATTTTGGTTTTAGAAAAAAGAAAAACTGATTTAAACGCATATATAGAATGGTGAAACTGCATTTGTTTTGTAAGTTTTCCTTAAAGTTTAAACCAAAAAAAAAAAACAATTTAACTGGTTAATGCATATGGGATATCCAAATTTAATCTTGAGAATATCACGTTGAAGTAAACGATAGACACTGGATTTTGACAAGAAACACACACAAAAAAAACAAAAAAAAAAACAAAAAAAAAAACTTTAAAACCTACATTTGTGATGATACTTTATTTTTTTTCTTGATAATACTATTTTACGCTTACTATATATATATATATATATATATATATATATATATATATATATATATATATTCAAATATCTGAAAATGAAGTTCAAAAAAAAAAAACCTGAGAAATGAAATGATATGTACGGTTTACATGTGAGAAATTCTCAAACAATTTCTTAAGGGTGGACGTACGTACGACTAATGATTTTTTTATTTATTTTTTTCTAATATGTAAATATCATAAAGGTGAATAATCTATTAGTAATTTGGCCTAATAATCCCAAAAGCTATCTTAATAGAGAAGGATTGTCACATTGCTCAAAGATTTTTCTTCCAAAAACTCTAATATAATCAGGTTTTTATAGTATTACGTAAATAATAACCTAAGATATTTCGGATCCTTGGCAAAAAAGATAGTTTTGATCTATGAGACATTTCTCATCATCAAATTTCGAAACACCACTTTCCTTTAGCATAAGTGGTGCCATCATAAACCGTGATCCGGTTAACGTTAGCGAAGAAGAGAATCCAAGAACCGGACTTATATACCTCTATACTCTTAAGAGTTTGCCGAAGCCACAAGTGTGTTCATTCGATTTTGAAAGTTCTAATCACGGACACGGTGCCAATCACGCGTCAACGGTTCGCCTAACGTGTATCAATCACGTCACTAGGAAGAGAAAAATGGTAAGATTTCTTGTTTCTCTTTTTCCTTTTTTCTTTCACCCGAACGGGTAACTTATTATATGTGACCGTTGTGAAAGTTTTTCTATTTAAAAAGTAAATGATAACTGTAGATGAATAATGGTAAGGATGAATAATCTTAGTATATATTAATATATGTAACTTTAAGGTGTACGTGTGTGTGTGCGCGTCTATGCTCTATAGCATATACCGTCTAGATGGGTAAGGTGAAAAGAATAGATTTTTTAACTGGTTAAGAAATTTAAATTTTAGATTATTAGTTAAAATACAATCATTTAGTAGTTAGAGATATCATTAGTTCGAGTTGTAAGCTCTTTTTTTTTTTAATGAACATATGAACAATTACAAAATAAATAAAGTGATGTCGGGAAATTTTAATCAATCGATGTTGTTTGAGTTTCAACTTTCAAGATAGAATAAGAACTTTTCTTGCAAAACTGAATTGTTTTTACAAGCTCATTTTATAACCCAAACAATCCACTCACACATTATCAAATTCCTATGAATATAATAAGGTTATGAAACATGAAACAAATATCACCTTATAACATATCTAGGTATATGTATATATTCATTATTCGATCCCAATGAATCAAATTTTGGAATTCTGATTTCACATACAATTCCTTGGAACCAAAACTCCAGAGGATCGTCCATGCGCATTCCTACAATAAGAAGCTGACGATCTTCTCAGGTAAGTAAGATTAATGTTTCGTAACATAAGCCCTGTGCATGGATTGCTCCCACTACAATCCAATTTCATTGATATGGGTGTTGTTGATGTCCCTTTTATGTTTGCATAAGTCACTCCACTTATCTTTATTCCAGAGCCCTATATGATCAAGCACAATAAGATTCCATTATTACTAACAAAACAAAAAAAAATATGTAAGACCTAAGCCAATAAAACCGATTAAGCTATTCACCTGACGAGAGCAACCGTTTCTATTAGGGCAATAGTTTTGATCGATGATCACTGGATTTTCTACATTCCTCATTACCAAATTTCGAAATTCCACATTCCTTACAAACCCTGTGCTCGGCTTAGCCCAAGTCTTTATTCTTACTCCATTTTGCGTCTTGGTGAAAACAGAGCTCGTGACGGTTACATTCTGCACACCTTCCTCATTAGCGTAGTCCCCAAGACTCCCAATGCTGCATCACATTTTCAATCAAAACTCATTAGCTCTGACTTGAATCACCATATTCACAGTCGATTCTTTCTAAATTTAATTACCTGATTCCATGTCCGGGTCCACAGCTCACACGTTCGATCCAAACATTCTTAGCTCCTTGATTAAGAGCAATGCAGTCATCACCAGTCCCTATTGTTGCACCACTTATGGTGACTCCTGAAGAAGACTGGACTATGATGCCGTCGGTGTTAGGACTTCCACTTGGAGCCCTTATTCTTATGTTTTGAATCCGAACATTAGAAGAATGATGAACTGTGATGTGTATATTCTGGCTATTAAATGACGTTAACCCACTTAATAGAACATTGTTGCACCAGCTGAATGATAAAGACTGTGAAAGAAACCATATAAAATAATTTAGTGTTTATCTTTCATATATTAATGTACAGCTATATAGCTTGTTAACGAACAAATTCGAAACTAGCTCGGTTTACATACCCTTGCACCTTGAGGACAATAACCACCTTTCTTTCTACAAGACCAATAAGCAGCTCCTTTAGCATCAATGGTGCCACCGTAAACCAAGATCCGGTTTACTTTAGCAAAGAGAATCCAATAACCGGAATTACCTATACTCCAATAGTTTGCGGGAGCCACGAGTGTTCCATCGACTTTGAAAGTTATAATGTTCTTGCAAGGACCCCAAAAGACTATGTTTCCAACCAAGTACGTTCCACGGGGAATGTAGACCATTGATTGAGCCCGTGAGCCGCATGCTAATGACCAAGCCGTCAAAAATGGTTTGGTCGCGTCTGTTCTCCCATCGCCTCTAGCTCCATATCTTTGTACATTAAACGATTGCATTGCGTGCGATGAGTTGGTAAGAAAGATGGAAACACAGAATAATAATATGATGGCACAAGGAAAAGAGGTGTTATTGGCCATTTTTTTTTCTTTTTTTCGGGCTTTGTATGATTATAATGATTTAAGAAGAAATAATCAGAAAGGTTATATATAGGGAAAGATCATATTTTATGTAAAAGATCGGACTATATATCCGTGTATTAATGACTAATCGCGTTATATGCGGTGAATTAATGATTACGATGACCTTATATTACTTCATTCCATAAATTATTTAATGATAATGTACTTAATTATATGTATGTACAACTTATTATTGTACGAATATTAGTTTACAGCCGCATGATATGATCACTTTCACGTTATATTGCTATGCAACTGCAAATGCTCATCGAGTTTCCAATTCAACTTAAATTCATTGATGAAGACAACTTTTTTTTCTTTTCGAATTGCTACATTGACAGTTAAATATAATTAGTGAAGTTCGTTGTAGTCATTTAACCACTAGTAAGTAGTAACAACAACCTACGTAGAACCGTTTATTATTCATAATCATCTCCTAATGCTTTTTTTTTTATGGAAAAATTGTTAATACTTAATCACATGGGTCTTACGTCAACGTTGAATGGATCATGACGGTCCGTACCGTCATCGATGACGGTTGGTCTCAATTCTAAATTATTAAATGGTTCTCTTCTGCAAACGAACCTAAGAATAATGTTATGCTTCTATTTTATCTTTGGAACATGTTACGTTGGCTTCAGACCAAAGATATTTTCAAAAGCTTTACAGAGACATCATGATATATAGCAGGTAAGAACACTTGGCTTGAAAAGTTTTTTGATCAGAAAGAAATCTATTAAGCGCATATAACGGTGAAAACATGTTCAAAACATCCTTCGACTTTACTCCGGCATCAAACAGAATAACGTTTCACTATAGGACAATCATAATAATCGATTTGGTTTACATGTTAAGGTGAATTGGAATTTGAAAGACAACCAAACGAACAAAAATTAGAGCGTTATGGCATTTTCTGTTTTCTCTCCATGTTCCTAATCGCCAAAACCCAATTTGTACCGTTTCTCTTGTGCTTTATTTATTAACATTACACCAAGAGTGCATGGTTCTGCTACAGATCTGCTAATTATCAATTAGACGAGGCGGACAACTTTTGTAAGGAATTATATTATAGGATATCCAGTTATCCACCGAAGACGATAATAAATGAGAATGGAGGAGTTTATGGAAGAGTATATTGCATTGTGTAAGAGTCTTAATAATTTTGGAACGTGATTGGTTCCGAAATATGTTACCTAATGGATTACTTGATTCCACCAAGTTCAAACTTATGCATACAAATAATGTCAGTTCGATCCTAATAGATTCAACCAAAATTAAATTAGTATAATATAGAAAAAATGATAGATATGTACGGTACAGCCTACATGTAAATGATAAGCAATGAGAGAACTCATCAAGCAACTTATAAAGGTAGACGTACGACGACTAATGTAAGCATGCATGTGATCATATCCCCTATATATAATGTGTCGGCTACTTCAAGTTTAATAGGTTGTTCTCATTGGTTAGATCTTGAATAACCAAAATTTTAAAAATCAAGGCAAAACAAAACAACATCAAATAGAAAAACACATCCATCATACACGAGCCTTGTGTTATGGAATTGGCACGTGACATGTGGGTGGTTACGGATGGGAAGAGATCAGATCTCAGTGGCTAAAGAGCAAAGCCCTCCGATACTTGCGGTACAGGTAATTAGAGCATAGCCAACGTCAACCAATTGTATATAGCCACCTCATCCAATCCATTCACACGGTACTCAAACGGAGAACTTAATCTTACAGGTTGTAATCTATTGATTAATTATTTGTAATCTTTTTTTAATTCTTATGATACAAAAAATCAAATCGAGAAGTAAAAATATCCAACGTTATATTTTACTTTTCTTGTAATAATGCCAATTTTTTTTAACCATATATTAAAAATACAACGACTTACTTTGATATGTCAGGTGATACTTTTGTTAACCCCAAATAATAAAACCTGACGACGTAGTTTTCACATATTACAAATTTCAGATGGAAAAAAAAAATCAAGTAAAGAAGAACTGGTACTAGCACATTGATTGCTTCTCTTCTTCTTCTTCTTCTTCTTTTCATTGCCACCAAAGAATTCACCACATTCAAATTCGGATGAATCTAAGGTTATGATACTTCTAATAAATATCGCTTTGGAATATATATCTACATCCAACAATCTTAGGGTTTACATATGAATATAAATCCCAATTAATAATCTTTGGATTTTTAGTTTCACATGCAATTCCTTGGTACCATAACTCCAGATGCTCGTCCATGGACATTCCTACAATAAGAAGCTGATGATCTTCTCATGTAAGTGAGCTTAATGTCTTGTAACCTAAGTCCGGTGCAATGATTGCTTCCGCTACAATCAAGTCTCATAGCTATTGGTGTTGATGATGTTCCTTTTATGTTCGAAAAAGTCACTCCACTTATCTTCACACCAGAGCTCTGTTTGATCAATCATAGTAAGGTTACATACATTACATAAAGACTAGAGTTAAAAGCTAAATCGATTAGATCATTCACCTGACGAGGACAGCCTTTTCCATTAGGACAATAGTTCTGATCGATTATCACCGGATTGCCAACATTCCTCATTATCAGATTTCGAAATACAACATTCTTCACAAACCCTCTGCTCGGCCTAGCCCAAGTCTTTATTCTTACTCCGTTCTGCGTCTTGGTGAAAACAGAGCTTGTAACGGTTACATTCTGTACACCTTCCTCATTAGCGTAATCCCCAAGACTCCCAATGCTGCATCAAATTTACAAGCAAAACCCATGCTAATGTCTTAGTTGGAAGTTAATCATCATATTTAAGAATATTATATATTGTTAAACTCAATTACCTGATTCCATGTCCAGGTCCACAGTTCACCCGTTCGATCCAAATGTTCCTAGATCCTTGACTAAGAGCAATGCAGTCATCACCGGTCGCAATGGTTCCGCCAGTAATAGTGACTCCAGAAGAAGACTGAACGTGAATACCGTCGGTGTTAGGGCTTCCACTTGGAGCCCTAATTCTTATGTTTTGAATCCGGACATTAGAGGAATGATGAACCGTGACGTGCATGTTTTGGCTATTAAACGACGTTAGACCACTTAGTAGAACATTACTGCACCAGCTGAACGATATAGACTGCAAAAGAAACCATATTGAAATTTCAGTTTATAAATCAAAATTAAAATAGGTAGCTAACGAACAAATCAGAATCCGTTTACATACCCTTGCACCTTGAGGACAATGGGAACCTTTCTTTCTACATGACCAATAACCAGCTCCTCTGGCATCAATGATGCCACCATAAACCGAGATCCGGTTTACTTTAGCGAAGAGAATCCAGTAACCGGAGTTACCTATACTCCAGTAGTTTGCCGGAGCCACGAGTGTACCATCAATTTTGAAAGTTATAACGTTCTTGCAAGGACCCCAAAAGACTAGGTTTCTGACCAAGTATGTTCCTCGGGGAACGTAGACCATGGCCCGAGCCCGTGAACGGCATGCTAATGACCAAGCTGTCAAAAAGGGATTGGTCGCATCTGTTCTCCCATCACCCCTAGCTCCGTATCTTTGTACGTTAAACGATGGCATTGCGTGTGATGAGTTGACAAAGAAGAAGAAGACAATAGATAATAATATGATGGCACTAGGAAAATATATGTAATTGGCCATCTTAGATTTCTTTTAATTCGTGATGGCTTTGTATGGTTTAAGAAAATAGAATGAGAAAGGTTTTGTATATATAGGGAATAAAAAAATACTCTGTTTTAGATCGGACGATCCGTGTATTAATGACTAATCGCGTTAAACGCGGTGCATTAAAATAAAAGTGACCTAAATATTACTTGATTCCATATTCCATGTTATTTTATAATGTGGATGTACTAATGGCTTGTGTGTGTACAACTTATTGTTATACGTACGAATATTAGTCTTTCGACGCATGAAATTATTGCCATAATTTGATTTTTCGATAATTTGATCTGTACTTTTAAAGATTTGAAATATATAGTCTGTTGACATTGTACGTATGCTGATATCGAGATAAGTTGTAATCAAAACTCGGGTTAAGACGAAGTGGAGTTTGATATACTTATGAGAGGAACGTACTAAACACAGCAACATTTAAACCAAGTGGATTTTTTTATTTTTTTGGGGCAACGAAACCAAGTGGATCGGAGAAGAAGTGATCTGTCAAAGTTGGAATTTATTGTGGGTGTCACGTGGAGAAATTTCTGCAGGACAATTGGGCGGGAATATATGCAATGCATTGTCTATAGTTTTAACTAAATTGTATATGTTTGAAGAAATTATTTTATAATGAGCTATCAGTGTACATGAGCCAGGCTCGTGTCTCGGACGTTGAAAATTAGAAACATTGACCTACGGTTCTTTGTATGAACAGCTTAAGAGACTTAGCAAAAAAAAATTATAGTAACTTTGAGACAACTATCTGTATTACTCCTAACTGTTGAAACTTTCACCGACGCCCATCATCTGTGTCGATGGACGATGATCAATGTACTACTCCTAATTCCTAACCGTTGAGAACTCTGAGAAGTAAGCTTGCATGCTTTAAACTGCCTGAGATGTATTTACTCTCTCTACTTTTGGTCTGATATTTCTAAGTCTACAGTACGCTCAGCTGGAAGATTTTACAAGCTCCACCGCCTAGACATTATCTTTTTACTGGTGTTTTCTTCTAAAAGCAAAGTTTTGTTACTTTGTAAAATGGTAGTTTTTTTCTTTTTTTGGGGGATATAGAAGTTAAATTAAAGAAAGACAATAAGAATAATAATAATGGATCTGAAGACACCCTCTGTTCCTGGCTTATTGAGGGCCCATGATAAGGAATGAATGCCTTGTTTACCTTTTAAAAAGCCCAATTTAGACTAAAAGCCCACAAAATTAAATAATAATTAACAGTTTTTTCCCTATTAAAACTTATAATCAGTAGTAACTAATTTAGCAGT